GAAAGCAAATTTAGTGTTAATGCGGCCCGTGCGGTTTCCCTACTCTCATATCTATAATGTGACCCTCCGCGACGGTTTCAGTTGAACCTCACCAATTCCGATTTTTATTATTTTTGTATAGATTTGGATGTTGATTATAATGGTAAAAACGTATTAAAATCAGAGTAAAAGTAAACCTTTTTAATTTGTAGCATTTTATGAGTCAAACATTGCCAAAGTGCGGTTTTGAGAAAACACGCTTTGAATATTGTTTTATATATACAAGTTTAACATTTTAAAAAGTCAGTTGGTGGGTAATGCACAACCATAATGATAATAATTAATAATTGTGTAAATCGTAGCAATCTGACACAGTAGGCACTTTGATTAAAATTTCAAAACATTTTTAAAAATATAAAAATACTACAGCTGTATAGAGCCTGGAGAATAGATTACAAAAACACCAAGATCAACTTTCTAGCTCAAGTGGTTCAAAAGTTATGAATTTTTTAGTAGGGACCTCAAAGGCACTTTTTTACTATGGGATTTTCCTCCACATTTCGTGACCCTCAATTTGCTTTTTTTTGGATGCCTATAACTTTATTGTTAAATGAGACAAAAATATAACATTTACAGGGAACATAGTTAAATAAGAGTACTTCTAAATAAAGACACAAAATATAAGTTAGTTTTTGTTAATATTCCGCAAAAATTAAAAAAAATATCTGGATTTTTTTTCCTTTTAAAACATGTATAAATATGCTGACTCATCACTTATTTGAAATCAATTAATTAATTTTGTTTAAATATTTTTTTTAAAATTTCCCAAGAATCATAATAATAATAATATTCTTTAGATGTAAATTTCAAATTTTCTGTGGAATTGTTTAACATTTATAAGTATAAACTAATAATAAAGGGATTACTTGTTTCATTTAGTTAAAATTTACGATTGCACTTTTTATTTTACCATTTTCTATATATGTATTTTAGTCCCATATCATATGAATGTCTGAATATGAAAAAAAAATAGTATGTCATTTTTTTACAAGTTAGTAATCTTGTTTCACAAATTAAGATGCATTGATAGAATCAACTTTGGTGGTTTATACAAACTAAAATAAGTTCTAACACCACTTGCTTGTGGTAAGTATAAGTTTTTATGATTGTTCTTTAATATTATTAATAATATCTTAAGTAATTCTTGGACTATTGTGGCAGAAAGTGTGTTTTTTCTTTGAGAATACAAGGATTATGTAATAATTCTCTTGTGAAATATTGTGATATGTGATTAAATATAGGATATTTCAATATGAAAGGTAAGTGACTATTTTTTTGTTTATATTTTTTTTTAATCTATGCATTAAGAATCATAATATTCATTAAAATATCATTACAAATAACAAATAATGTGTCACACAAATAATGAGTTGGGCAGGAGCTAGGCCTATACTTAAAATACTTTACTTTATATATATTAAACTTTCATATTTAATATATTAATTATAATAAAAATGAGGCTAATAATAATTCAGTTTAACCCACTACCCAAGTCAATACCCTTCAATAAAAGCATCAAAACAAGTTAAAAA